GCCGTTCCCGGAAAATAATGACAAAGTGAAATACTTGTGTAACGTATGGGAATACCTAGGTATATCCAAGCCGCAGACAAGCTTGTTCCCTGTGCATGACCAACAAACGGTTCGTTGTATATTTTATAATTAGGGAAAAGAGTGTGAAAGATGCATAGAAACAAATGTTCTTCGAGGATATGATGTCAAACGAATGACGTATCGAGGATCAATTCGCGTGATATCCTCGGGTTTCACTTCAGTTTCAGTTTAAACAATTCATTTTTCACGGCAGATTTAATTTTTGACTTTTTGCTACCCACATGGATCAAGAAAAAGAAGGAAGAACTGGAATGCCGGAAGTATTATAAATGTGGTTTAAAACTCAAATGAATGAGAATATTGAGTAGGGGTACCGATGTCACCTGTTTGCGACATTGAAACATATCACCTGATGTCTCTGCCCTCCGATTAGAATGATTCCCACATATCAAACTGGGAAACACAAAACAGAATTTGATAGAATATCCTGGTCAGAACATCCATACGTCACAATGGGTCATAGTTGAACTACCCTGAACCTTTGGATTAGCCATGACGATGAAAAACTAAAAACAAGTTTATTTTTTGGTGACGACGTTTCGACCCTCTTGGAAGGCCTTTATCCAGTCAATTAATAAGCGAACATGTGAGTCAACTGTGAAACAACCATATAGAAAAACCGGGGCTGTGTGATCGGTCTTTGGGTAAGGAAAGCACTGTGTGTGTGATTAGGAATGTAACAAGAGGTCAGAAATAAGAACGAGTGACGTAATGGATTATAGGAGATTAGAGTGTGTGTAAACCTATGGTGTGGAAAGAACCGGTGTGTGTGTGTGTGTGTGTGAGTGTCTGAGTAAAAGATTAAACGGAGTCAAGCCAGTGGACTGATAATTGAGCTCCGTCCGATCGATTAACGCAATTCGGATCGCCGTTGATGAACAATGACTCCGTGATCAGTCGTTCTCTATATGACCGGAAACCTTGTTTCAAAATAATTGTTTTTTTGAAATCAATCAAGTGTCCTTCGGCGATAGAATGTAGCGCGATTGCTGAGTCTCTTTCAAGTGTCCTAAGTTCTGCGGTATTTTCGGTGCTTTCCTAGTTTTCCTATCATGTTCAGCTAAACGTTGCTTCAGTTGTCGGCTCGTTTGTCCAACGTATGTGGCCGGACATTGTTTACATCTTATTTTGTAGACGAGATTAGATTGCTCCTCTTTAGGTCGCTTGTCTTTGAGTCACATCAGCTTTGAGCGAAGAGTGTTGGTTGCCCGAAATGCCACTCGTATGTTATATCTGTTTAGAATACGTTGAATATCTTCCGATGTATTACGGCGATATGGGATAACGCTAGTCGCAATCCAATCTATCCTTTTTGCTTTTGACTCCATGGGCTTTCTTAGCTTTTTACGGATTTTTCGTAAAAACTGGAAGGATATCCGTTACCTAGTAACTCCCGTATAACCACCTGGACTTCCTTCTGTTTGTCCTTTTTTCTTGAGACAAAAAAATAAACCAAAAAATAAACTTGTTTTTGGTTTTTCATCGTCATGGCTAATCCAAACGCTTTCCCTCACGGATCTAATACTATGAGCATGACGCACAATTACTTCAATAAAATCCGTT